TATATTAAGCAGGGGCGTAGGTTTGATTTTGAAATTGGTGGGGACGGGCCGGGGAAATCAATATATAAATATATTTTAAGTTTTGATCGAAATTATTGCTAGGGATATATCAGTGTGATTGGATATTGGTAGGGACACGTCCCAAGCATCCCTACTAAATTCTACGCCTCTGATATTAAGACAGAGATAACATTTATGTAGTCGTTTTTTGAAGTGAAGTCTTTGTGACTCTTGAATTTCCCAAACTTGAATGCGTGAATGGGGATCCACCAAAACAAATCTGGCTTCCCGTTTTTGCTCGAGCTCATGTGTGCAATAACACCCCCCTCCTCCAGAACACATGCCTTTCTGTTCCTGCTTTCATATGCTCGGATGAGCCACGGTTTCCTTGGTTGCGAAACAAGAGAGCAGAGATTTGAGAATACTGTAAGGATCACATGATCCATTCAGTTGTTTATTGAGCCTTCGTGCCCGGAGGCAACATTCAACACATTCTTTAATGAACCTTCTTCAGTTCAAGTATTTCAGGTTTCCCTGACAGGCAGAGATTAAACAACAGCCTTCATGAGTCAAATATGAATGCATCACATATTTCATGAAATAATTATTTAAATTTATTTTATAAAATCAACATTCCTTAAGTGTTACAGAAGCTAATTAATTTACAAATGCATTCAACATTCACCTTTAATGATTCAATTTCTTATTCCATTTCTATATAAGCATGAAATATTCTATTCTTGGATCATGAATATTAATTAAGCTGCATGTTTGGACAGTCCCAGAACTCCTGCCATAATTAATATTCTTGCACTATGGCTTAAATCCATACTGTTGCACAGTAGCAAAGTCATTAAACGTTTTATATTACGGTGCAATACCATAGATTTCATGCAAAATCACTTTAAACTCCATAATAAATATTAGCAACAGGATGTGAGGTCATACTCTAGGGTTTTTGTATTTTAATGACGAATTAAAAAAAGCAGGTAATAATAAACACTAATGTACACTGCCCATTTTGACAAATGTAGTAGGGCTTCACTACACAGCTTTTTACGATTATGCTTGCGTTCCCCTGTTCACATGTACATAAATCCTGGGAGCACAATTCAATCAGTGCTGTGTTTCTGATGTCTTGTTAGGACGTTTGGACGAGGAGTTGTGGGAGGAACATTTCATTGTTGTCTTTTCTCATTCTAAATATAGGATGTTCTGCTCTCAGTCGAATTCATTTCTGCTGAGAGAACAGCCTTTTCAGCACATGGACAAAATCCATATCCAGCATCAACCTGATACATACAACTGTATTGCATTGCATTAAAAAAACAAAGAGCTGTTGACTTCACCCGTATTTAACCACAGGAAAGGAGTTTGGCCTCCTACTGATGCCTGAAACCTTTGCATAATGGACTAAAACTCTGCTCTGATTGGTCAGATGACCCAGTCCGTTGTGATTGGTCAGATGACCCAGTCTGTTGTGACTGGTCTACTCCGATCTGATTGGTCAGATGACCCAGTCTGTTGTGATTGGTCTACTCCGCTCTGATTGGCCAGATGACCCAGTCTGTTGTGATTGGTCTACTCTGCTCTGATTGGCCAGATGACCCAGTCTGTTGTGACTGGTCTACTCCGCTCTGATTGGCCAGATGACCCAGTCTGTTGTGATTGGTCTACTCTGCTCTGATTGGCCAGATGACCCAGTCTGTTGTGACTGGTCTACTCCGCTCTGATTGGCCAGATGACCCAGTCTGTTGTGATTGGTCTACTCTGCTCTGATTGGTCAGATGACCCAGTCTGTTGTGATTGGTCTACTCTGCTCTGATTGGTCAGTCTGTTGTGATTGGTCTACTTTGCTCTGATTGGTCAGATGACCCAGTCTGTTGTGATTGGTCTACTCTGCTCTGATTGGTCAGTCTGTTGTGATTGGTCTACTCTGCTCTGATTGGTCAGATGGCTCAGTCTGTTGTGATTGGTCTACTCTGCTCTGATTGGTCAGATGACTCAGTCTGTTGTGATTGGTCTACTCTGCTCTGATTGGTCAGATGGCTCAGTCTGTTGTGATTGGCCTACTCTGCTCTGATTGGTCAGATGGCTCAGTCTGTTGCGATTGGCCTACTCTGCTCTGATTGGTCAGATGGCTCAGTCTGTTGCGATTGGCCTACTCTGCTCTGATTGGTCAGATGGCCCAAGTCTGTTGTGATTGGCCTACTCTGCTCTGATTGGTCAGATGACCCAGTCTGTTGTGATTGGTCTACTCTGCTCTGATCGGTCAGATGGCTCAGTCTGTTGTGATTGGCCTACTCTGCTCTGATTGGTCAGATGGCTCAGTCTGTTGTAATTGGTCTACTCTGCTCTGATTGGCCAGATGGCCCAGTCTGTTGTGATTGGTCTACTCTGCTCTGATTGGTCAGATGACCCAGTCTGTTGTGATTGGTCTACTCTGCTCTGATTGGTCAGTTGAGCCAGTCTGTTGTGATTGGTCTACTCTACTCTGATTGGTCAGATGACCCAGTCTGTTGTGATTGGTCTACTCTGCTCTGATTGGTCAGTTGAGCCAGTCTGTTGTGGTTGGTCTACCGCTTACAGCGCGTGTCGGTTTTACCATATAAATTCCAGCACAATTCATCATCCTTATAAAGTACACGCAAAGTGGATTCACAGCACAGAAAACAGTGTCTTTTCGACATCAACAACATGAACCAAACTCAGTCTCAGCAACAACTTCAGTGTTTGCCAAAGCAAACTCTGTTTTCAGACAGCCAATAAAGACCATAGGGAGGCATTATGTATATATATATACATATATACATAAACCAATTGATATACATTAAAAAGTACATACTATGTATATGTTATTAGGTAGAAATTGTTTTTTGTGACATTTAAAAAAAAAACATGTAATCACAAAAATGGAAAATCATATAACTTCATTGGTAATACAAAGTGTAAAAAATGAAGAACATTTAGTAATTGGAATCATGGAATTTAATTAATGTACTTTAAAATTATTCCATGCAGTTATTTAATATATTGCCACTCTTAGTTTCTGTATATATACCTTTTGTAAATGCACAGCTCCATCATTAAACTACAGTATGAGAAATATCTTGGGGGGAGGGGGGCCTCAAATATTATTTTTAAAGGTCAAAAAGTTTGAGAATCACTGCTTTAGAGGAGACACAAGTGGGAGAAAATTCTACTAAGGTTTAGGTAAGACCGAAGCAAACGTCTCCATGTGTTCTGCATGTAATCTTCCTGCTGTCAAGGAGAAAGAAGCGACTTCTCAGTTGTTGTTTTTTCTCATAAATGGAAGACGTAGGAGAAACTATGCTCTAAATGAAAATAATCAAAACAATAAGACTAATTATTTTGTCTTAAATCATCAACACAACTACATATAGTCTTCCACTTTTGCTCTGGTAAAAAGTCACGTTTAAATAAAATTCACAAGATATTTGGTCCGTTTGACGTATGCAAACATACCAAATACATACATGTATTTTTTTCCCCTAATGCTTTTCTTTGGCCAATCGCCGGCTACCCAAGACTCTCCGGGTCAGTCAGCTGGGCCGTGCCAGGCTCACTGACTCTCACTGGCAACTGGCACACAGCTCACACGTTTATGTAACAATGACATCATCTTTCCTCGCTAGAGTACGCTTTGTGTCTGTCTTTTCTCACCGACAGACACAAAGAGGTAGACGCACAAATACCAGCAACGTTTCGGCTCTTACAATATTTGATCTCTGCTATCATCCACACCAAGTTTTATCCGTAAACACCTTGTTTTTCAAGACCTCCCCTCAAGGCTCCAGCATGATATCTGTCGATCAGAGATAAAGAGGCTGACAGAGAGCGCCACTCATACCTGTCCACCTATAAATACAGGCCAGGTCAGCAGGTGAGATCAATAAAACACATTTCACAACCCCAAACCAGATCAGCTTTCTGTCCAGGGACAGTGATAATAAACTGAACCATACTGAGCCTGTTTGGCCACTATTCTCTTACTAGAAGGACTTTAGTGGGTCATTAGATGGATATATCAGCCATACCGATTAATAAACCAATATTTGGTCATTCTGATATTATCAAAGCAATTGAGTTTGTGGAACAGTACTAAAATCTACTGAAATTGAAATGAATGCTAAATTAAGCATATTTTTTCACCCAGCCAAACGTATCAGCCATTGAAAAAAACGGGTCAACCACTGGTTATTAAAGCATCCAACAAAAACAATACTAAGATGCATTTATATGGTGCTTGACTCCATCTGATACATTTTACAACATAACATCTCTGCATGGGCTGTTTACAGAGATGGAAATAATATGATTATGAGGCTTTTTAGATCCACATGGGTCTATTTTGGCCAATAAGCACAACCATACATCAATAGCACACACTAAATATAAGGAAAACTTGATTCTGATTGCTCAGCCCAGTATCAGCAGTCTGAATAATAACTGTTGTCAAGAGGAACACTGTATAACTGGCTGGAAACATACTTTCTTGCCCTGTTCAATGAATATTCAAATCAATCAATATTTCATGTTAATTCAAAATCTAACTTGAATATTTTCAAAGCATTAGAGGTTTGAAAAATTAAAGATACTGGATCACAAGGATCAGCAAGTTTTGCACAAACCTATCCATGTCATTACAGCAAAAGGTAGACATTCTAAATATGAAAAATTAATGCTAATATTTCAAAATTAGGCTGATGATACAATTGGTAATAAAAAAAGAATGCACTACATTGGGAAAATACCATGTACACTTATATACACAACAAACAAATAAATATATTGCACATATATAATCACAACTGACCACACAGGTAAACGCGCACGTGCGTCTCCATTCACGCGACGCGACCAAACCAGCACGCGTCCACGTGACTGTACAGACATGAATGAAACACACCTGTGCATAAGCGGTCGTCATAAATAACACGAGCATGTGTAAGCAAATTATTCAGTAATCATGGCTTTACCCGCGAGTCCTCCTCCGCCGTCTCCATGGCCCTTTCGCTTCTGCAGGATGAAATACGGATTCGCTCTCTCTGTCATCCATAACGCGCTGGCCAACAGCACCTCATCAGGGTTCACCCACATCTTCAGCTCGAGTTCCTCACGAGGACATTAACAAATCTTATATTCGTGGTCCAGAATTGAGTCGCGGTCCAAAAGCTTATCCAAGCGTCTAATCGCGCACCCGATACAGCCAAGCGACGCGCTTCGAAGATCCGACGGCGGTGTATAGCGAAATACTACGCTGTCAGTAAGCTACAAAACTTAGTGTGTCGAGCAGAGCGATAAATATTAAAATATGTACATTTAAAAAGGTATAAAATCCTCCTGGAGCTCCACAAGACGCGCGCGCGCACCTCACACTACACAAATAATAACACCATGAACATCTTTTCCTAAAGGACGACAACGACTTTAACGCCTAGCAGAGCCCTTGAAAAGCAGAACTAGTGTATTCCGCTGATTAATAGTGAAAGACAAATATATTTTAAGCGTTTACACGAGCTAATGAAGCCCGCAAAATAAACAATGCCAAACATCTCAGCCGTGTTTTATTGATGCTCAACTCACTAGCGCCACTGCAGCAGCGTGGACGGCGGCGCGCGCTCAGCCTGCGTCATGGGCAGGCCATTGTGACGTGGTGATTGTGGGCGGAAAGCACATTTGCTCATAAAAAAAAAAAAAAAAAAATGACAGCTTATCTTGACTAAAACAAAATACAAAATAACATTTAAGGATTCTTATATGAGCTCAAAATGAGTCCAACTAAGGTATCGCTATCAATACTGTAATACAAATAAATAATAGCCAAATGAATACATGAAAAAAAAAAAAAAAGAATTTCAAACAGAATATATAACTCATTATTAGAATTTATTTATTTTGCATGTATTTATTTTGGCTACTATTTATTTATTTTATAACATTAGGCCTGTATTATACACTTAATTTCATCTTTGGTTGGTTCAGTTAATAAAACCATCAATAAACAAATAATGTAATGTACACAGTATAAACACAGTGTTGGGATGATCATTAATCATGTGTGTGTGTGTATATATTACGTATATATATATATATATATATACATATATATATATATATATATATATTATGTGCACACACACACATAAACACATTTTGTAGATTATTTATCAGTCCTGTCAAATGGATTAATCGTGATTAATTGTATATATTATTTATATACAATATATATATATATATATATATATATATATACAATTTTAATAGTGCTGTCAGATGGATTAATCACATCTAACATAAAGTATATATATATATATATATATATATATATATATAGGCCTATTCTAAATGTGTTTGTTATATAGGCCTAGCATTTCCTTGGTTCAATTAATAAAACCATCATGACACAAATATGAATGTCTGAGAGTCTGGGTCAGGGTTCTCTCAGTCAACTCCTGTGCTTGATTATCAAAATATTGTCAAAAACAGAATAATGATGTCATGAATTTTCAATTGATATTTTACAACAAAAGGACACTAATTCTATTTTTGCAATTGACTTTAAACCGGTTGGGTGAAGGTAAAACGGTAAACCCTCATTCTACACAAATAGGTCAAGTAAATAAAACACTGGCTGATGTTTGCATGAGGTGTTTCCCCGTCGGGTGGGTTTACATGTACGTGATACGATCTGAAGAGTATTTTTCCACGTGGCTAACCGCTGTGTCATTTAGGTTTAACACCCCTGCTCGACATGACAGGTGGGACAGCTTGAAGTTCAAAAGGATGAAGCAAAACAACCGCATTAACAACCACAACGACAGGAAAACAGAGGTGCAAGCAGCATCAAGCATCTATTACTGAGCTTCTGCTGGTGTGGTGGTTCATCAGCCGCTAGTGGCTGAGAGACATCAAGCTCTTTTCTTAGCCAAACCACAGCAAGAAAACAATCAACAAACAAGCTTGCGTTGGCGGCTCTGAAGAGGCTGAGAAGGAAAGTGCTGTGAACTTGGAATAAGTGTCAGCAAAATAAACCTTCACTTGGCATTGTGCTATCTTGCTTAGATTAGCTTATTAGCTTAAAGCTAAGAAAACATTTTGAATGAATCATCATGTGACAGCAGAATGTTGCGGTTGGCCAATCAGAAACAAGTATTCCAGAGAGCAGTGTAATAAATTAAAGTCGGAATGAAACAGAAGTTGCGATAGTCTTTTCTTACCTATTGTGACGTAAATCCGAGTGAAACGGCTTCTCAAACAAGAACAAATGTTGGGATTTGGGATTTTGTCCATGGGGAATTGATTGGATGGTTGTGGTTTGCTATTGGTGGATCTCATGTGAGTGACAGGTTGCTCCACCCTCACGCCAGTAAACGCATCATCAGAGAAGAGATGATGCTATGAGAGGAAAGGGAAGTCATTTTGACTAAAGATTGAGGGCACATGAATAAAAAAAAATATGAAGGCCCGCACAATTGGCCCAACGGCGGTTTCCAATAGTCCAGCTGAAGGTTTCCCGCGCGTTTGGTGTTTTTAGTGTGGCAAAGTAATTTTATTAATTAAACTTTTATCTGAGAGGTTGAGGTTCACACTATTTAGATTAGTCAAACAACACTTCGTTGCTCTAAATGGAAAAGCCATTTTTAGCCTCTACAGTCTGAGTATACATGATGACTAATGCAGATGTGTTAGTCGGATCTCTAAAACATCAGTCGTGTGCTCCTCTAACTTGTCCTTTTAGTCCGTTACTAACCTGAGCGTAGATTTGTGGTGTCATGGACTTCACTTCATTTACTAGAGTTAATCAGAATAAATTCAATTTTAACAATGTATTAATGTATCATGCCAATTACCCATTCAAAACATCAAATGGATCTGGCTGTCGCCCTGAGGCTTTTCTTTAAAGGAACACTCCGACTTTTTGGGACTTTGGCCTATTCACCTTATCCCCCAGAGTTAGATAAGTCCATACATACCTTTTTCATCTCCGTGCGTGCTATAAGTCTGTTTGACGCACCCACCGCTAGCCTAGCTTAGCACAAAGACTGGATGTAAATGGTTGCAGCTAGCATACTAATCCAAATAAGTGACAAAATAGCGCAAACATTTTCCTATTTACATGTTGTGATTTGTATAGTCACTGAGTGTACAAAAAACAAAGTCACATGAGACACAGACATATTTTAACCGTATAAATACTGGGAACTATATTCTCTGAAGGCGAAGCACTGCTACTTGGGCGGAGTGATAACCGCAGCACCTGAGACGCGCCGTGGTGAGGAGCAGAGAGTTCGTTCAGAGTTTGGGTACCGTCTCAGGGGCTGCGGTTATCACTCCGCCCAAGTAGCAGTGCTTCGCCTTCAGAGAATATAGTTCCCAGTATTTATACGGATAAAATATGTCTGTGTCTCATGTGACTTTGTTTTTTGTACACTCTGTGACTATACAAATCACAACATGTAAATAGGAAAATGTTTGCGCTATTTTGTCACTTATTTGGATTAGTATGCTAGCTGCAACCATTTACATCCAGTCTTTGTGCTAAGCTAGGCTAGCGGTGGGTGCGTCAAACAGACTTATAGCACGCACGGAGATGAAAAAGGTATGTATGGACTTATCTAACTCTGGGGGATAAGGTGAATAGGCTAAAGTCCCAAAAAGTCGGAGTGTTCCTTTAAGACCAAGACAAAACATCCTCCAAATGGAGACATGGGAATTTGCATTAATCAAGGTGCCAGATCTGGGTAGTTTACACCTTCCTGAGGACAGAAGGTAATCTGCATGAAAGACCCTGGGAGAGGTCACACACCCACCACAGTAAGCAAAGTCTCTAAACTCTGAAAACCTTTATTACCTTTTGGTTTACTTCTGTGGAGATGAGACTGTTGTACCAGAGACATTTCAAATGATACCAAACATGTTTAGTGTCGTATGGTAATTGTTCGCATTAAGTTAACCGTTTTGGGTGAATTTCAGGTGATCTCAATATGTGGAGAGAAGAGAAGAAAGAAATGCAGATGAGAAAATACTGAGGTGTGATTGCGTCTCGAGTGTTCAGATGTTAATTTCCAGAAGGAGTGTTTTGTTTTCTCAGAGAGTGGCCCTCTCTTGGTCTCGGCACCAGCCTTACAATGTGCACGGATAAATCATTTATAATAAATACTGCAATATTCCATTAAAAAAAAACAAGAATTTTGAATCCATTTTGATTTCATTGTGACTTTAAGCAGGATGTAAAGTGAAATGTTTGTAAAAAAAAAAAAAAAAAAAAAAATGAAGTGTTCTAACGTCAACTTGTACTTTTTTTTGTTGGGATATTCCCAAAAAATAATAAAAATAATTCTTACAAAATTCCCTTCAAAAGTAAAGTCTGTGGTAGTCAGTTTGAGATTAGGTCAGCTCTCAATGACTAATTTGTGTTTCATTTCCTAGTCATCCATTTTCCTACTTAGAAAAGTCCCACATTATCTTTATTACGTTACATTATGGAACTAACGTCTTTTTCAGAAACATAAAAAAATCCTGAGCGAAGGTTGCGAGCATTACATCAGAATGTGTTAAATAAACTCAAATCATCAAAAAGGCTTGATTTGGACGTCATCAACCTAAATTAAAATAGTTTATTTCCCAGCAGGAATATTAATACTACCGTGGCCAGTCTGTTCCATTATATATTTTATGCATATTTTCAAGGTAAAGCATGGTGTGAAAAGCTTTGATTGAACATGTACATGTTAGGGTTTTTTTTGAGGGATTTCTTTATTACTAATGACTTTCCCCTCTAATGTCTGTTCACCACACAAAAACATTACCAAGAATGAAACTGTGAAATCTGTACTTGTTCTAATTTATCTTGTATGACACATCTATAAGAATATATGACTCATTTATGACCTCAATCTGAATGTAGAACAGTTATCTGATACAATGAAACCAGAGCGTATCTGTTATGGCCTAATACTGCACCTAATATTAAATAACATAACAACTTTGTTGTTTACATGGATGTTTCAGTTCTGGAGAACCCATGTTAGATGCAGAAGTGATGTCACACGTCTCATGACAGCAGACACTTCATACTGTAATGACAAAAGTACTGATGTTACAGACAGGAGATCGACAGAGGAAATGTCCTACTGTAAAACACCAGGAAAACCACTAATGTGTCCGTGTTAATCACAAACCTTTTTCAGGCAAGGGACCTCTTAACTGGAGAATGGAGCAATGTAAAATATATTTCAGCTTGAAATAGTCATTTTAGTACTTCAAGGCAAGGCGACTAGATAGATAGATAGATAGATAGATAGATAGATAGATAGATAGATAGATAGATAGACCCAAGCTTTGTCAATTTAGTCATGCTTCACATTGTATTTTGGTTTAGTTTGTTTCACCAAAAAAAGAGAAAAAAATAGTTTAAAGGGATAGTTCACCCAAAAATAAAAATCCTGTCATCATTTGCTCATCCTCAAGTTGTTCCAAACCTGCATGGGATGTTTTTTTTTCCTGCCGAACAAAAAATAGGCTATATTTTAAATAATGTTGGTAACCAGACTATCTGGTTAGGTAGACCCTTGCTATCGCCTACAATGCATAAAACAAAAACATGCGAAGATGTAAA